GAAAGGCCTGCGTGACCCTGTGGCGCCTTGGCGGTGTGGAGGGCTGCACACCCGGTGGGAAGTAGATTGTGTGAGGGTGCAGGTAGAAAGCAAAGAGAAACCCACACAAGCACAGGAGCCCTGGGAAAGGAGGACACCAGTGGGCCATTTGGCCAGTGAGGGGGCCATCTGGTGAGAGCAGATGCTTTAGTCTATGGTGTAGGGAGGGAAGACGTGGAAGAGAAGAGGTGTCAGCTCCCTGGGGCGTGAGAGCCTTTGGTTAAGTGAACAACTCTGAACCCTGTCCTGAAACTTCCTGTCCAGCACTGAGGACTGGGGGCGGGAGAAGGGGGCTGGAATGGTCCCAGTCATCCTCTTGGGGCTAGGAGGAGGGCTTGTGCATCTGGGAGCCCCTCTGGAAATACCCTCAGAGCTCAGACTCTCTGGGACATCCTCTGAACCGCAGCCGAGAGGCTGCAGAAAGGAGACAAAAGTGATACAGCTCTGGATTCTTTGAGGCGCGGGGCTACAGGAGGCGAGAGGGCTGCAATAGCTGTTTGAACATCGCCCTTCAAAAGCCGCGACAAAGGGAGGTGAAGAGAGGGGAAGGAGAGGCTGCAGCAGAGGGAGGTGGCCTAGTTTCCTGAGTTAACACTAGCTGAAGTCTGGGGATCCCAGGCAACTTGAGACCCCAGGTAGCAGCTGAGCACAAAGAGCCAGGGCTACCACCCAGCCTGGTCTCACCTTCCGCTCTGCACTAGACTTTATTAACAGCATCTTCCTCTGTTCTGAGGCTCATCCTCAGTGTCCTCCCTAACAGGAAGGAAAGCTGGCATTGCCCTGGGGGCAGCTGTGGCTCTTCTGCTTGCTGTGGTGGGAATGCTGGCACTAGAGACCTCATACTTGGACAGCAGTCCTTTAGGACTATGGCAAGTTCTCAAGGGATGATCCTTTGGCCATACTAAAAGCAAAGCTGTGCTCATTTGCTCGATTAGAGTTGAGAGAACTGAGCTTTAACTGAAGGAGAGTCTGGTTTTCCTACAACCTTCCTTTGACAGTGGCCGATCTGTTAGCCAATTTAGTCCATTTAACGAAAACAAAATCCAAAACGCCGCTCTGTGTTAGCAGGCTTCTGTGTGTTTGACGGTTTGCTTCTCACACTGCTTTGTGGGGGTTTGAGAGCAGGAAAGTATGCATATTGGGAGCAGAGGCTGAGGGGCATGATCTCAGGGTCCTGGTTGAACCTGCCTTCCCTGGTTCATCACATGCTACTCACATCCCCTAGTTGCCTGTACAGTTCATGGGCTGAACCCAGTGGTAATTCAGCAGCTGCCTGGGATGGCCACCCTAGGTCTGGAGCCATCTTCTCTCCTGTCCTCTTTCTGTTTGAAAACAACCTTGAAATCTACAGAAAAGTTGCAAATGAAATTTATATGTTCCCTGCACCTTTTTTTTCCCTTTCTCCCCACAGCATTGTTCATTTTGAACTGCCTAAGATTAAATTGCATAACGTTCCATTTCCTTTTCTCCCCCCCCCCTTTTTTTTTGGTGGTAGGAGGGGGTGTTAAGAATACCGAGAGGGGGCAGCATTGCCTATCTTGCGCTGTCCAGCACCAGACGTGCCTACCTAACCTCAGCTGGGCTCCCTGTTGGTGATGCTTATTTTGACGGCTTGGCTAGGGAAGCCATGCACTGTAGAGATGACACTGTTCTGTGTCAATAGCAGATACCCTGAACGGATGCTTTGTGAGCATAGCTTGTCCCCAGCAATTCTCACTCGTTGATTTCACCTATTCATAACCCATGTCTAAGTCAGTTGTTGCCACTGGTGGTTATGAAAATATTGAGTGTCCAATCCTGGTACCTCTTCTGCATTTAACACCTGTCATTCTTTTTTGGGGGGATTGGGAAGGACTTTTTATACTTCTCTCTCTCTTCCTTTTTAATTTTTTACTGATTATTGTTATGCTAGACTTCAATGCTTTTAAATCTATCACTGTCATAATTCTTTGTTGCTCAAAGTATCCCAAGTTGGGTAAATGCGAGGCATTTCTTTCTTTTTTTTTTAACCTTTTATTTATTCTTTGTGTCTGTCACATCATGCATCTCGATCCATTCATCTCTCTGTCCCTTCTTATCTGCCCTCTGCCCTTGCAACCTGCCCCCTATAAAATAACATAAAATTTAAGAGAAAAGAAGAAACAAGAAGAAAAATCTCATCATATTCCCTTTAGTCCATATGTCTTTACTTGCAAGTATTCATTGCAAGGAGTCCTTGGTCTGGTTCAAGGCCTGTGGTTTCTGCTACACTATTGATACTGGACCCTCACTGGTTCTCCTCTTGGGTATTCTGTTTTTTCCCTGTGTCGTGGAGATCCTGCAGCTTTGGATCTGTAGGACATGCTCTAGTAGATCACAGATGGGGTGGATGTTAGTGTGGGCCAACTCATA